TGCCTCAAAGCATTTTGTGGTCTGCTTGAAACTGGCTAGGAGGCCGGGAAAGGCTTGAGGCCTCTGCGGCCAGATCTACCTAGGACCCAGGTGAGGGCCACCAAGGGCAGCTTCTTGATCAGCCACCCTCCCAGGTTCATCCTAGTCCTGCCCCTCAGGATGTCAAAAGCAGCGCTAGCAGCCACCCTCCCCCACCCCCCAAGCCTGGGTGTGCCCTAGTCCATGTCCTCCTAATACAGGACAACCAAAGAGAAAAAGCGACAAATGGAAACTGAGGAACACCCCGCCTCCCCATCCCCCGCACAGTGACTTTCCTGGAAGTCAGAGGCAAACTGGAACCTCCGCAGAGAGCGGGGATCCTCACTTCCCATCCCCATGTCCCCAGTCCTTCTTTTGGGGGGCTGGCGTGAAGCTACTCAGATGTCAACTGCAACTGGGGGCCAGGCAGGAGGATCGTTGAAGAAAGGGGAACCCCAGAAATCTGTCGGGTCCAATCCCTTTCCTCATTCCTCTCGCAGGGCCGCCACCACGAGGGCCACCAGTCGCTTTGACAGGAGACAGCCCCAGACTGAGCAGAGGGACCAGTCTATGGCTAGGAATAAGCCCTAGGTGACAGGGTAAACTGAGCCCCGGCCCCCGCTGCCCGGCCCCAGCTGGCTGGCCCAGCAGCGCCCGGCACCCCGCAGCCGCGCCCGCTCTGGCCGCGCTGGCCGGGCCCTGCAGCCCGCCTCCCGCCTCTGATGTAAGCTGATATTTTAATTCTCTTACAAGGAATGGTGTTTAGAGAAATGACTTAACCCGATTACTCATCGTCTATAATGACTTGGCCCGACTCCGAGGCTATTCCTAGACGTGACGCTCGAGGCTTTGATTCTTTCTCTCTTTACTTTTGCTCCCCGCCACCCCCCCCCCCCCCGTGTTTTTTTTTTTTTTTTAAATCCAAGAAATTACATTCTGACTACGCGGCGGCTCCGCCCCCTACTCGTCCCCCTTGCACGGCATCCTGGGAGGTGTAGTTCCCTCCGAGGCCCCAGGTGCGCTGCAGTTGCTCGGCCCTCCACCAACAGCCCCAGAGGAGCGTCGGGGTGCGGGGGCCGGCGGGACAGAGGTCACATAACCGCTGCATGCCTCCGTTTACCTATCTGTCAAAGGAAAGGGACAGCCACACAACATAGGGTTGAAGGGCCAGCTGAGATCTCGGTCTATGCAAAAGTGCTACACAGACCCCTTTATTAAGAATTCGTAGTCCTGTGTATTTTGTGCTGATCTCCAGCCTAGATAACCACTTGGTGACATAGAATGACTCTAGTTATCCTGATCCCGAGACCTGGCACCTGCACCTGGCACACAGTCAGCCTTCTTCTTCCAGTTTGTGGTGGAGCCTGTGAACTTGTACAGTAGTGTCTGTCCCTCAGTGTCCTCAAGGGCACTCTGAGGACAAATATATCGATCACTTCTAGGGACGAGGGTGATATGCAGGCGAGATGCAGGTGCAGTGTTGGCTGGAGTAAACCTGGTCACCCCTCCCAGCACCAGGCCTCAGCTCAGTGACTGAAGGAGCGACCAATTCTCCAGGGTCCATGTTGCAGGAAGTTAGGGACTTTGTTCTGATTGTAGCTATGTCCCGCTGTCTAGGTCAGTGTGGCAAAGAGTAGGACCACAAAACACATGTTGGCTGAATGATTAGATGAAGGGTTGATTCCCTGCTTCCAGATGAGGGACCTGAGCTCCTGAGCTCCGAGGGGAGAGGGGAAGAAAACCCCAAATTCCTCTCCTGGCCCTGCTTTCCCCTGCCCCCCAGGGGGGTACTGTTCACGGCTCTGGCTCAGGAAGTGCGGGCTCCCAGGTTTCTCCCTGCTGGGGCTCGTGGGGTGAAGTGATTGGGTCACACGGAGGGGCCCTCAGCCCAGCCCTAACCCAACTAGGGAAGCTGCTCCGGATTCTGGGGGAGGCAGGAGGGAGCTTGGGGCAGGTACATCCGCGGCTCCCTGTGGAGGGCTGCGGGAAGCCAGCATTCACAAACCCTGGAGACCATGCCCAGCCTCTTTCAGTCAGGAAGCTAGCCCTGTTGATTGGGGACTGAGCCCTATCCCAGCAACACCCCCTCCCTTATCCCCAAAGGCCAAAAGCTATTCTTGTCTTTTTCTAAAAGAGGCATTTGAAACCATGAGCCAATTTTTTCCATTCCTGAGCTTGGGTATCGTCTATTTCGGGCGTTTGTTGTTTTCCATGAGTTGCAAATGCCACCGTGAAGCCGGCCTTTCCTGGACAGCTAGCCTGGGAGGGCAGCAAGGCAGCGCCAGCGTTAAAAATACTTCCCGCCTCATTTCTCCTTTGAAAACAAAGCCCTAGGGGCCTTTTGCAACTGCTGAGCCTGGGAACAGAGCTTCTCAGGGCAGAGAACTGGCTGGGTTTCTGTTCTCTTAGTGCAGTGAATGGCTTTGCAGGTTTCAGAAGAAGCAACAGCACTGACTTTGCTCTGTGACCTTGGGCTATTTGCTTAACCTCTCTGGGCCTGGTGACCAGATGATCTTGAATCATCTGAGAGTTTCAGGGTGAGAACACCCCCAGGGTCAGTTTCTCTTCTTAGAAACGGCCAACAAGGGTGTTAGAAGTCAGCTTCAGCTCAAAGTGTCTGGGAACACTTGGGAGTGCCTGGGCTTGGAAAGTGTTGTAAGGGGGTCTAGAATGTTCTCAGCAAGATTCTTGTACTTGACAAAAAGATTAAGTGTCATTAAGAGGAGAATAAATACACTATGATAAAGCCCTGTGAAGGCACGGCAGCTACTAGAGAGATGCTAATCTGTGTTGTAACTAGAAAGTTCCCCAAGATCTGGAGATTATTGAAAAATCAAGTGTGGGATGGAACAATCAGAATTGTATCATTTTTGGGGCTGGGGATGTGGCTCAAGCAGTAGCACGCTCGCCTGGCATGCGTGCGGCCCCGGTTCGATCCTCAGCACCACATACAAACAAAGATGTTGTGTCCACCGAAAACTAAAAAAATAAATAAATATTAAAGTTCTCTCTCTCCCTCTCTCTTTAAAAAAAAAAAAAAGAATTGTATCATTTACTTAAAACACACACACACACAAATAAAGATACATATTTTACTATACACCATGGATATGTGTATTTATGAAAATACATAGGGAACATTCTAGAAGATTTTATCCAATCTGATAATGGGGAAGGAAGGGAACTAGATTTGGAATAGTGCCAAAGAAGACTGACTTATTTGTAATGTTTTTACAGGAAGAATGTGTTTATTTGTGATGGTTTGTTTTTCTTCTGGAGACATTGAGGGGCTAGGTAACCCCCTCAGGCTATCCTGGGCCGAAATCCTGTGGTTGCAGGAGGAAGTGGCTGCAGGCTAGAGGTGGAGGTGTGTGAGATAGAAGCTTGAGAAATGGAAATGTTTATGCTTTTAGGGAGGCAAATAGAGATATGGTTCCTCTGCAGGATTTATTGGTGTTGTAAATTACTTTCTATTGCAAATAATTGCCTTAGGATACAATTACACTTAGATCATATTGTTCTCAGGTTGGTCAGGCAGGTGTTGACTTGCTGGGCCTCTGCTCAACAGGCCCTGACTGTGAGAGTGTGCCCTGCTGCCTGAATAGCAGAATAACCTGCCTGTGGTGTGATGCGTTCCTGCTCTGTAAAGGAAGTGAGTTCTGCATCTATCAGGGCATCCAATCCAGCAGAGAGGGGCTGGCCTAGACTGTGGTACTGCCTGCTTCAGTGGTGGGGCTAGAAGCCTGTTAAGCTTCCCCATGGCATCCCATGATAGTGTCTCTGTCACAGCCTTAGCTCTCTTGGAGGGAACAGTGACTTGTAATCTTGGAAGTAGGAGGCACTGTTAGAATCACCATTCTAGTGATTATTCTGGGCCATTAATAAATATTGACAATGATGTGTCTGTACCAAATCTGCAGATGGTATCTCTTACAGACCAACCTATGAGGAGGTGGACAAGGGGTTTATCCTACAGAGCCCACAGTGCTGTCTGCTCTGGGCTGAGTTCTGTCATCCCAGGGCCAAAGGGTAACAGCCAAGGTATTGGGGTCACCACACTGTGGCCTGGTCCATTAATTTAGAGGAGCACTGGTGTGCTCATGGGCAGCAAGGAGTTCAGACAGGTTGGAGTGCAGATAGGGCTGGGGGCCTCTGTTCTGTTCTGGGCCCTAATGACTGGGTTTAGCTCAAGCTCCACCACCTTCGCTGTGTAACTTGAGTTAATTAATCTCCCAGACCTTCCCTTCCTTTTACCCTATAAAATGAGGATGATGATTGTGTGAACTGCAAAGAGCTATTATGAGTGTTAATCAATGAAACTTCTGTGTACCTACTATGTGCTGGAACAGATTTCAAGTCCAACACGGTATTTGCTGATACTTGACGCTCCTACAATCCAAGCAGGTCCAAGTGACTGCTACGCTGGCTCCACATCTCTCCTTGCCTCAACTCACCCTAAGCCTCACCAATATCTCCTTCAGCAGGGGCGCTCCCCACTCTGCACTGCTCAGTGCACTGCTGCCACACTGCACGACATATGTGGACACTGGCTATTAAGGTCGGGCTGGAGACATCAGGCATTATGGAATCCCACAGAGGCTAGGTCAAGGACTCATTAGTCTGGCCCCTATGAGGCTAACACTAACCACTTGGCCCAGGACCACTTTAAGTCAAAAAGTCAAAAGCACTTTGCTTACCCCACTCAGTCCTCAGTGTATTGCTAACAGCGAGGAGGACTTTTCCAAAACTCTAGTTTTACCCTTAGGGGGACAGGTACAAGGCTGCCGCGGTCTGGATTCCCGGTGATCCTCCTCCCTTTCTAGGTTGCGAGGCGGGGAGCGGGGCGCACACTACAACTCCCAGACTTCCCCGGGCTCATGGGGCGGACCCTGACCCCTCCCGAAAGAACTGGGCTGCCAATGGGAGCCCAGGCGGGGCGGGGCTGCGCCCGGGAGGGGCGGGGCTGCGGGAGGCGGCTGAGAGCCGTGCCGCGAGTCAGTCGCGCCCGGAGCGCGGGTCTGGTCAGCGTCTCCGGTGCAGTGTCTCCGGGCGGCGACGCGGGACCTCGAAGGGCCATGGGTAAGCGTCTCGGTGGCCCGGGACGGGGCTCGGGGGCCCGCGGGGAGGGCGAGAGCTGCGGCGCGGGACTCCTCGTGCCCTCGCGGCGGTCGGTGCGGCTGTGCGGGGCGGACGGGGCGGGAGCGGGTTCGGGGACTCGGGCGCGCGGAGCGAGCCGGGACCCCGGCGTCCACACCCCGGCCCAGCGCCGGAGGGCGAGGCTGGGCGTCCGCGCGCGCTCTTCGAAAAAAGGAAAGACAAAAAGTTTTGGCGGCCAGGGGCTTCCCGGGCGTTTATTTCGAAACTCTTTTCGCCGTCTCTTGCCTGAAATTTACCAAGCCCTGTAGGGTTCTGTCATCCCACTTCCTGCTGCGGTTTCAATCTCGAGCTGGTCTCAGCTAATTTGTTGTGACAGCTGTCAGCAGCAGTTTCTCTGCCCCCGTCCCCTCCCGCCCCGTGACAGCCCCGCGGTTCTCAGAACCCGCCGCGCCGCCGAGAAGAGGCGCCGGGTCCGCGGTGCGCGGCGCTTCCCACTGCGGCCGCGTTTCCTGAAAGTGACTGCGCGGGTTTTGAAGAACTTGCTCAATGCGCTTTGAAGAATCCACTGTTCCGCTTTCGGCGGAGGGGTGTGTGGATCGTCTGGCGGTTGCCGGCCGCCGGCCCTCTGTTCCTGCTCTTTCCCTTTTCCCTTCTGTCCCCTCGCCTCCCCCTTTCCTGTCTCTTGCCCATCCTCTCAACCCGGGGCAGAGAAGAAGTAGCTTCCCTTTGCCCTCCTCTTGTTCTTCTGCCTTTACCCTTCTCTTCCCTCGGCACTCCAGCAGGGACAGGGTGCTGGCCAGGACAGTGAATGGGGAGAAAGGGCAAAATGCAGGTAGTGAGCGTGCAGGGAAAGTTTCGTTTCGCTCTCAGCAGGAGCTGGGGGCGCAACCTGGGCGCCACATCTCCGGCGCTGCGCGGTGTCCAGGGGTAACTGCCTGGCTGGGGTCACACAGCCTTCCGCCCGTGCTCCCTCCAGCGCAGTGGGTCAAGCCGCACCTAGGGACCCCGAGGCTTAGTGAGGTTCTTGGTCGATGTGCTTTCTGGGCCCAGCATCTGTTTGTTTGTAGAGTCTTGGACTAGCAGGGAGGGGCCCAGGGGCCCAAGGAGAGTAACAAGTGCTTTACGCCCCCACTCTTACGAACTGATGCATCCCGAAGAGTCTCTGCTCCTGCTGGTGGTGCTAAGGCACAGGCGAGTGGGAGATGGTGGCTGGGAGGTACCACCTCCAAAGCAGAGTTACAGAGTGTAGTCTGGACCCACCTGGGGCCTCCAACTGGACATGGCAGAGGTAGAAAGGGCTTTAGAATAAGCTCCTCACCTTTGATTTATAGTAAGAGAAGCAGAGGCATTGACCAGCTCAGCTTTGGCACTGGGAGGGACAGGCCTCCAAGACTCTTTGCTCTTTCTGCATTCCCTAGGGTCTCTTTTTTTGGTTGGAAACTAAGCTGGAATGGCCCACCTTCCCTTGAAGGCCGGTGCCCCAGGAGGGGATCTGCCTCACAGCTTGGACAAGTCAATTGCCCCCACATCCTGTTTCTCCATAGGTGGGGTGAGAAACAGGAAGCCATCCACAGAAGGAGCTCTTCAGGTTACCATCCAGCATCTCCCAGACACTGGGCTGGGAGAGGCAGTGCAGATTCAGCTTCATCCTGGGATGGGTTCTTTTAGGACATTCCAGAACTGAGTAAAGAGGGGCAGGGTGCTCCAGGGAGGCTCAGGAGTTGGCAGTGTCCCATTCTGGTGCCCCCATGCCCTCCTGCCTTTCTGTACCTAGCAGTGCTCTTGGCTTGACCCCAGCTGCTCCCAGACCCTGTTCCTCTCCCCTTTGCCCAGCTTAGGTAGTGAGCTGGGCTATGGTGAGTGCTGCACCCTGAGTGAGTCCTCAGGTCCCCTGCCGAGCCCCTTTGTCCTCAGTGCTGGCTGTTGGCAGGTCTCCCCGCCCCACAGGTCTCACTGCCCACTGGAGCAAGCCCCATGCCGAAACTCTGCCAGCAGCTTGCTCCTGGGCCCCTAGTGGACTGGCTGCTTCAAAGGCTGTCTTTGTTTGGGCTTCAGCTTTCCCTAAGAGAAATGGAAGCCAACAACCCCAGGCGAGGGGGTGGGGCGGTGTCTGCTGGTTGCTATTCAGGCTGCTGTTGCCATTATTTTCGTAATTGACACAGTGTTCCTAGTCATGACTTTTTATGAAAGGAAGTGTCACTTCCTTCCCATCACACCAATAGTGAGTGGGGCGTAATACTCAGTTAGCAGGCCCCCACCTCCAGGCTGTGTGGCCTCTAACTAGTCACAGCCCCTCTCTGGGCATCAAGGCTATTTGAGATCAAGGTTCTCCTCCCACAGGCACAAGCTGATATTCCTGTAGTGCAGTGAGATGCGATGGGGATGGGGAGGACAGGTGTGGCTCTCATTCAGAGGTGTGCACACACACGCCTTGTGGTTTGTGGGGGGAACCTCATTTCTCATTTTCTTTTCTCTTGTAATCCTTTTTATTTTTATGTGGTGCTTAGGATCGAACCCAGGGCCCCACATGAGCTAGGCGAGCGTACTCTACCACTGAGCCACAACCCCAGCCCCTCATTTCTCATTTTCTTCCACTTAAAACATTGGCCCATCGAGTGTAGCACACTCATCTTATAGATGGAGAAACTGAGGCACGGAATCAGTGACTGAATTGGTAAAAGATGCAGCTGTGTGGGGCCCCAGCCCCCTGCCCAGCTCTGCTTTGCCCTGCTCTCTTCTGATGCCATTGTTTGGCAGGGGAGGGGTGGGCTCACAGGGCCACCAACTTCCCCTCACCCACCCACCTACTTTCCCTAAGTCCGAGTGAGACTATTTGAGTCTCTATGCCTTTACCTTCTGTCCTTTGCAGGGACCCCTGCCTCCCACTCCAGTAGACAGCCCTAGCCAGGAGCCCACCCCCTACTCTCTGTGGCAATAGGTGGCAGTCTCTTAAAGGAATATCAGTGGATGACAACAGTTTTCCTTCCTTCCTCAAGATGTGAACACAACAGTCCTTATTCAAAGATGGCGGGGCTTCTGGGGGCCTCTGAAGCCGGGGGATTGACGCACACAGTAGATGTTCTTTCTGCCCAGGCCTGAAGCCTGTTGACCTGCCCCTCTTGTCCACACAGACCAGCTGTTAGGGGAGTGTCAGGGTCATGTGATGTAGAGTTGGTGGGGAGAGTGGGCAAATTTGCATCCTCTGAGCAGAGATAAGGAAACTGGGGTCTCCCCAGTCCCATTAAGACGACCTAAAATACTCTGCGCTCAGGGTTGAGTGACTTGGAGCAGTCAGACTGCTCTGGTTCTGAATCCCAGCTCTGTCACTGGAAAGCTGTGTGACCTGAGGCACCAGGTATGACAGCTGTTAAAGGGGGAACGAGTGATACCCCCAGTGAGGCTGGGAGGAGTCAGTAAGGCAGGTGCAGGGCACCAAGCCCAAGCTGGCCAGAGCTCTGATTTGAGTTGGTAGAGCATCAGGTGCAGAAAGGGAGTTAGGGGCTGGGTGCGGTGGTGCGCACGGTGATCCCAGGAGGCTGAGGCAAATGAAAAGGACTGAGGAACCACCCCTGGGTTCAATCCCTAATAACAAAAATTAAAAAAAAAAAAAAAAAAAAAACTTAAAAAAAAAAGGGAGTTGGAGAAGGGCGTGAGAACACACACTCAGGGAGCACACTCTCTTGGGAGCGAGTGACCCAGCTAAGCTCCTCACCACCACAGTTTAGGATCTGGTAGTTGAGCTTGACTCTCACTTGAGCCTTGGAATGGAACAGAAATCAGATTCCTAACCCACGAGGATCCTTGGGCAGAGCTCCTGCCTCACATGCTGCTAGTGAGGGCCTAGGGCACAGGGACCCGGGCTCATCTCCTGGCCCCACCACCCACCCTCCTGGGGACCTCTGCCAGCAAGAAGTGAGCGAATCAAAGGGGACTTGTAAAGTCCTGCCCTCAATGATCAGGACTTCCCTAGCCCCATGGCCGAACTGCATAGAACTCAAGGAAACCAGGAATAAACTCACTGTCAAGGGCACAAGGGCTTTAACAAGGAGCCTCAGAGCTGCAGGGGGAACCTGGCAGGGGAGGCACCTGGTCCCGGAAAGACAGATAGACATCAGATGGGTGATTTCTCCTCTGAGTAGTTTCTAAATGGGTATGCAATTCAGAGTACCATTGGTATTTGGTTTTTTTATCTTTTTATTTTTGTGTGTGTTTGTTTAGAGAATGTGACCAAATTTTCCTAATATTTAGATGGAATCTTCCCCTCCCCAATGGACCTTTATTTTATCTATTTATATGCAGTGCTGAGAATCGAACCCAGTGCCTCATGCATGCCAGGCAGGCGCTCTGCCACTGAGCCATCACTCCAGCTCTCAGATGGAATCTTTTTAAAAGAGGAGTACTGATGTCTTGCCCTGTGGATAGATAGCACAGTCTCACCAAGCTACAAAAATTAAAAGTGCACCTAGGCCAGTGTTCCACCATGAACAGAATAGAGTAGAAAGACAGTGAATGGAACAGAATAGAAAGCCCCAAAATAGCCCCAGATGTGTTCCTTAAAAGCATTGAGATTATGGAGAGGGTGGCATTTCAGCCACGGGGGGCGGGGGGAGGGCAGGGTCACCCAGTCAGTACTGGCAGCACTAACCCCCAGGAGGCAGGGTTGGGGAAGAGCATGGTGATCCCTGTATCCCACCTCACGCCACAGCCTCCAGATGTGTCATGAGTGAACAGTGACGTCATCGCCGTCACTGTTGTTTCCTAGACAGAGAAGGTCACGTCTGAATGACATTTGTGTAGAGAGCAAGGGTTTCTTTTTGAAGCTTGATCCACCTTCCCCCCCTCACAGATCGACTCAGGGCAGTGGCAGTTATGAAGGGGTGGGTGGGGTAAAGCTAGGAGACCAGGGTCCCCACTCCAAGAACTCCTTCCCTCCTGTGCAGAACTAGGCAGGCAGGCAGGCAGGGCCCGCCCCACATCTGTGGAAGTGGGTTTCCAACTTATTTTTCATTGCAGACAGAACCCTTTTTCCCAATGAAGATTTGCCTGGAATCCCAGTCTGTAAATCATCAGAGATGTGAGGGATTAGGGTGGCCAGGGACAGGACAGGGGGCACCTGGATCAGGAGAGAGGGGCTCTTCTGGCTCTCTCACTAAAACTGTGGAATTGGGCGCCCAGAAGGCGCCAGGACAGATGGAAAGTGCTTGAAGCGCTTGGGAGAGAATGGAGACCAAGTTCATTTGGGGACTCAGTAGGACACAGAGATAGAGAGTGCCTCCCTTTGTGGCTCCAGGCAGGAGCTCTGGTCCTGTCCCATCTGGGTGTCAGTGGCTCTGACTGGTGACCTCCTTTCCAGGTAACCCTAGTGACCAGCTCCAGGTTTTCCCTGAGCAGGGCCCAGGCAGAGCTACAGGTTCCAGAACCAGAATCATCAGAAGGGACTAGAGGTCCTCCAGTCCACCTGGCCACCTGCTGGGGTGCCCCACATAGGATCAGACTTAAAAATGCTCCCCCAGGTGATTCTGATGGTCCAACCACCTTATTTGGTGGTTGTTGTTGTTTTGTTTTGTTCCTGAGATGGGTCTTACTGTGTTGCCTAGGCTGGCCTCAAAGTCCTGGGCTCAAGCAATTCTTCCCCAGCCTCCCACCGAGTAGCTGGGACTACAGGCATGTGACCCTGTGCCTGGCTTAGCCAACTCATTTTTCTGAAGTCCAGGGGTGGTAACATGACCCGTGAGAAACCAGGTCACACTCAGAAATGGACAGAGTCCTTTGGTGCCCATGCCCAGGATCTGAGGCAGCAGGCAGGCAGGGAGAGGAGGAGGGCCAGCCTGGAGAGGGGCTCTTACGGCCCGGAAGCTTCTGGAATTCAGAGAGTTAGCAAAGGATTTGAGCCTTTCTCCCATTTCACAGAAGGAATGGCCAAGCCGCATAGTCACAAGAACTTGGTTGTAAGGGTATTGCTCTGGTGGGTCAGTTGTTAGCCTCCTGGATTCCTGGAGACTGGCTGGGTCTTGAATTTCGGAAGCCATCAAGCGGGTGGCCTGGGTCTCTCTCTCTCTGATCAGCCTTAGGTTGTTCCCTCCAGATTTGTTGACTCTTTATCAGGGCTTTGCACAGGTGGATGATGACCCTGGTTGGTGGCCACTCCTCCAGGGTCAGACGGGCTTTGTTTTGTGCCCTGGTCCACCAGGGAGACAAGGAATGGGACCTCTTTGGCTTCAGTTTCCCCTACTTTAAAATGGGATCCTTCCTGCACAGCAGGGTGTCGTGCTTGACAACCAAGGCCACGCTGTGCAGCAGCAGAGATCTCAGCACCAGGCCTCTGGTTCCTTCTGGTTCCTGCAGCCCTGGGTCCTGGTGGTACCAGCTCGCTGTTCCAGGGGAGTCTTCCTGTCTGGGATGAGGGAACCCCACAGGTTTCTGACAGTACAAATACCCGGAGCTGGAGCAAACTGGGAATATGAGCCCTTTCATTCCAAAATAACAAGAAAGGGCTCTCATCTGATGTGGGTTCCTGGTCTAGGGATGCTGCCAGCCTGCCTTCTGGCCCAGGTGGTCTCCAGTGGTTGTGTTTTTGTAGCTGCAGGCACACGACTGGCTGCCCTTAGCAACATGGACCCTGTGTCTATGAATGGTTGTCATGAGCCTTGCTGGTTCCTGTTGACCTGGCACCTCTGTGTGTGGGGGCTGGAGGCCTCCCTGAGGTATCAGGGTTACATTGGTGACAAGCAGTTTTGCTAGGATGACTGTGAGCAGCTACAACAATGAGAGGGACGTGCTGGGGCTGGCTGGGGCCAGGGAAGGCCACCCAGGGAAGGGACTTGCAGAGACCTGTAGGGCCCTCAGGACCCTTGCTACTAAGGGCAGTTTGAGGCCTAAGGAGGGGCAGTTAGAAGGCTGCATGTACTTGGGGACAGGCCAGATGGGTCACAAATGGGCACTCGTCTCTTCTGCATGATCCCTGGAAGAGCACCTGTCCAGGCTCCAGGGGTAGCTTTGGGAACCACACACATGGGAGCCTTGGTAGCATCCCTGATTTGACCAAGTTGTTGTGAAACTTCCTTCTGGATGTGGGCAGGTTTGGGGGTCTTACCCTCCTCCTGACTTGCCCCTGAGAAGGCTTTGGGCTGGGCTTCTTCAGAGACTCGGGGAGATGGCTGGAAGTGAAGGGACAAAGGGGGCGGGTGCAGAGGGGAGGGCCAGGGAGGGGGGTGCTGCCTGTCCAGGGTGAGTCCTGGGAGTGTGTGCGTGCGGTTTAGAGGGACAGCCTTAGAGGGACAGCCGAGGGCAGCCAGGACGGGTGGGCAGGGGATGCTGTGGGAAGAAGGCAAGGACACCTCTGGGAGTGGGGGGATGGCCCGTGGCCCCTGTTCTCTGCATCTCACAGGCTCTCCTTCCTTTCCCTCTCCTTTCCCCCCTCTCTCCCAGCAGCACCCCCTGTCAAAGGGAAAAGAAAACAGTCAGAGGAGGGCGAAGCCTTGGAGCCCCCTGCGTCCCCTAAACCGGATGGTGCGCAGAGCAGGAGCCAGAGCCCCATCCAGCTGGAGGTGAGTTCCGCAACTCCCCAGGGCCACTTTCCTGCCACCCTCAGCCTTGGGGGACTGGGAGCCTCCTCAGCTCTCAGGAGGGATCCTGGGCCCTTTGCCAGCGGTGAGTTCTGGGCAGACCGGGGCTCACCTTCAAAGGAAGATGGTCAGGATGCTGACCGTGAACCAGGCAAACGCACTATTCTCTCATGTAAACCTGCATTTCCACCCACCCACCATTCAAGTTGGCATCGAGTTGGCGCACGGGGGTAGGGGATGCTGTCAGCCATCACAGCAGAGGCCTAGTGGACGTCGCCTGAGGAACAGCCCACGGTGCCTAGAAGCCCTGGGCACCCCAGGGGCCTGGAGTCGCCTTCCAGGGACTCAGTCTGATGCAGGCGCTAAGAGGAAGATTAGCAAATCAGGGGCACGATGAGGAAGTGACCCTGTCCAGGAGAAGGCAGGGCTGCCCCTATGGCTGCCTCCAGAGCCTCTGAAGCTCCTGGACCCTGGGCACTAAGAGCTGGCTCCATGCCAGCATGGCCCAAAAACTCTAGTCCTTGAGCCCATCCTGCCTGGAGCCCTGTCCTCTTCTGGTGCCCTTGCAGGGGACTGTGCAGCCCAGGGCAGGGGCTTGGGGCCAGCGCCTTGTTCCTCCCCACAGACAGAGGTCTCTGGTGTGCCTAGCCACCCACCAGCTGGGACCTGTGCCCACGCCGCCCGTTCTTTCCCCAGGACGCCCCCGAGGCAGGCAGGGAGCGGGAGGAGGAGCAGGCCTTCCTGGTCAGCCTCTACAAGTTCATGAAGGAGCGGCACACACCCATCGAGAGGGTGCCCCATCTCGGCTTCAAGCAGAGTGCGTCCTGGGGGAGCAGGCAGGGAGGGGGGCCCAGCAGGGGATCCCACCCAGGCAGACTGTCAGGGCAGGCCCCTTGCTCTGGTGACCCCAGACACTGCCAGCCCACAGGGGTTCCGAATAGAAAGGATGCCTCCCGGCAGGTTCAAGATCAGCAGAGGTGGACTCCATCCACTGACCACTGGGCTGGAAGTACGCAGGGCCCAAGTAGTGGCCCTGTCCGGGTGTGTGCAGGGTGCAGGCTCCCCTCTCCTGCAGAGCCTGACAGCGGCCCTGCCCCTCTTCCCTCCAGTTAACCTCTGGAAGATCCACAAGGCGGTGGAGAAGCTGGGGGCCTACGAGCTGGTAAGCTGAAGGCCCCCGAGTCCTCGCCATGCTGCATGACCCTACACATCCCTGCTGCACCCCAGGAGGGCCGCGGCAGGGGCCAGCCAGCAGGGCTGTCCTTGCTGCGGATGGACAGGAAGAGCCAGGATCCTCAGCGCAGCCCTGCTGGCTGCAGGGCAGAGGAGGGGTGCGCCTGGGGTACTTTGCTGTTCTAAGCAGGTTTCCCTCTCTCCCCATCTGTTCTGCCTCCTGTGCTCCAGAGCCTGCTTGGGCCAGCAGTCAGGGGCCCTGGGAGGAGAGCTGGCCGGCCGCACAGCCCCCTCCAGCCTCCCGCCCCCGCCCGTGGCTGGAGGAGTCTCTTGCCCCCATCCCTGCGAGGGTACCTGGTGCTGCTGGGACCCCACTGCCAGGGGGCACCCATGACCCTGCCCTGACACAGTGTCCTTGCAGGTGACAGGCCGCCGCCTGTGGAAGAACGTGTACGATGAGCTGGGGGGGAGCCCAGGCAGCACGAGTGCAGCCACGTGCACGCGCCGCCACTATGAGAGGTACGCGGGGAGGGCCACCTCGTGGCCCTGGGCCCAGGACACCAGAGGCTTCCCTCCTAGGGCCCGGGCACAGCATGGCTGGGAGCAGGAGCGGGTAGGCCAACAGATGCTCCGTGCACGTGCCCTCTGACCTCATGGGGCCCGGAGTCGTAAGGTGGCAGGACAGAGCTGGCAGCTTTGGGTCAGAATGGAGGGAAGTCCTGCTGGGGGAGGTGGAGTGGAAAGGTAGCCAGGCGGAGGCCAGCAGTGTGGTGGCCTCTGGCCTCCTGCTGACACACCCGCTCCTCCCCAGGCTGGTCCTCCCGTACGTCCGGCACCTGAAGGGAGAGGACGACAAGCCGTTGCCCCCCTCCAAGCCCAGGAAACAGTACAAGGTGGCCAAGGAGCCCCGGGGGGATGACGGGGCCACCGAGAGGCCAAAGAAGGCCAAGGAGGAGAGGCAGGTGGACCAGGTGAGCCCCAGGTGGTGGAGCCTCCCCATCCCCTGTCCCTTGCACCCCCCTCTGGGGCCCTCCTGCCCATCCTGACTGCTGCAGAGCCTCCGCTGTGGAGGACCCAGACTGACTGAGGGCAGGACCCGGGGGCTGCAGGTCCTCTGTGATGGTCATGCCTGGGCTCTGAAGTCCAGCTCACCCCTTCACCCAGCCCTGTGTCCTGCTGAGACACCATGTCCACTCAGAGGACTGGACGCCTTGAGAAAATATTCCCCAAAGTGCTGCAGAGGCCCACAGTGGCCCCTGGACACCCCTGAGCCCTGCTGCTGCAGTTCCCCGGGTCGGAGGCATGGCCTGCACCAGCCCTGAAGCGTGGCCTTTTCTCCTTCTAGACGGTGCCAGGAAAGACCGAGACGGGCACAGACCTGGCACAGCTGCCCAGCCAGGAGCCCCCCAAGGACAGCACAGAACAGCAGGGCCCAGTGCCCGGGACCTCTCTGCCCCTTGTGGGTGCCGGCGGCTGCCCTGAGGCTTACAAGCGGCTCCTGTCCAGCTTCTGCAAAGGGACACATGGCATCATGTCACCACTGGCCAAAAAGAAGCTCCTGGCCCACGTCAGCAAGGCAGAGGCCTTGCAGTGCCAGGAGGAGGGCTGTCTCCACGGAGCGGGTGGCCCCAGCAGGGAGCCCCTGGAGCGCCCCCGGAGCCCCGAGAGGCTGGCTGAGAGTTCCAGGCCCCAGCTGCCCCCTCAGGGACCACAGGCCCTCGGTGGTACCCCCAGGGTGGAGGCCCTGGCGGAGGCCCAGGCGGGCCCCAGCCCACCAGCCCCCGTTTTCACAGGCTGTTTCCGTGCCTGCCGCACTGAGGTGCTGAAGCCCGTCAGCCGGCATCCCCGGGACTTCTTCTCCAGCCTGAAGGACAGGGTGCTGTCGGAGCCTCCCGGCAAAGAAGAGGGGCCTTCGGCCAAAGAGCCCCCACTGATGTGGGGTGGGGACGCCAGCCGTCCCTCTGCATTCCATAGAGGTGGCTCCAGAAGAAGCAGCTTCTACCCCAAGCCCAAAGCCTGCTGGGTGTCCCCCATGGCCAAAGTCCCTGCTGAGAGCCCAGGGGCCCCACCCCTGCTCCCCGGCAGCCCAGGCCTGGGCAACAAGCGCACCTGGGAAGAAGAGGGCTTTGCCCACAGCAGCAAAAAACTTCGGGCAGTGTCTCCCTTCCTTAAGGAGACAGATGCCAAGGAGGGCAGGACCAAGCCCACAGCACCTGGCCTGGCTGTCTCGTGCCTGCTGGGCCCAGGGCTGGGGCCTGCCCCGCTGGACGGCCACAGGGGTCCCATGCTACAGTGCCCACTCAACTTCGCTAGCACCTCAGACCCTTTAAAGGGTCAGGCTGCTCTCCCTTTCAGCCCCCTGGTCGTCCCTGCCTTCCCGGCCCACTTCCTGGCCACTACAGGCCCTGCACCCATGGCCGCTGGCCTGATGCACTTTCCCCCCACCTCCTTTGACAGCACCCTCCGCCACAGACTTGGCCCGGCTTCATCAGTCTGGCACGTGCCACCCATCGCAGCCTACGCAGCACCCCACTTCCTGCACCTCAACACCAAGCTGTAGGTCAGCCTGCTGTGAAGGCTGGTGGCTCTGCTGCGGCCTGCACTGGGTGGCCTGGCCCAGGCAAAGAGGGAGGCAGTGGGAACTGGCTTGTCTCAGGAAGCAGCCCAAGGCCTTGGAAGGTTGGGGCAGGGTGGGCAACTCCCTCTTGGCCCCCCAGAACAGAGCCCAGGAGCAGGGGAGGGGCCGAGGAGCTGGACAGCAGACGGAGGCGTCCAGGTCTCCCACAGAAAGTCTAATAAAAACCCCAGTGTGATTGCTGCCAGCCCTAAGGTGTGTACAGTGGGACCTTTGCAAGGACAGACAAGGTGGACACAGGCCTGTGGGTGGGACCACCAGTGCAGGAGCCACCCTGGGATCTGGAGGCCACCAGTCCACTGAAGAGCAGGCCCACAGCAAAACATGGCCTCCTGAGCTCATCCCAGTAGGCCTGGGGCTTGTTCTGGGCCTTCCACCCATTTCCCTGACTCAGCCTGGGGCTACTGGGAGTCACAACAGGCAGGGGACAGGCTCTGGCAGGCCAGGACTGGGCCACACAGTGCAGCCAGCCCTGGTGACTCCAGCAGAGGAGGACTTTGTTTCTTGCTGCCCCAGGCTGGTCTCTCCTGGGCTCAGTGGGACTCCGAGGCTGCCCTCTGGTGCCTGCGGGGCAGTGTTGACCAGTAAGCCTGAGCCCCAGGCTGGGCTGCCCTCATGGCGGACGCTTCACAAGGGCTCCTGGGGAGGCAGTGCTGCTGTGGGGCCACGCTGGCCTTGGGTCTGCACCATCAGTGCCCGTTCTGCCTGCTGGAGCCATGGCGGTAGGGAGCTCCGGCTGCAGACTGGAGAGCACGGGTGGGGCAGCTGATGACAGAACCCAGGACATGCCTGGCACTGGGAACTGGGTGGCCAGGGAAGGAGGCGGGTGCCTCCCAAGCAGGGTGTCGGTCACCACTGTTGTGGGTACTTAGACTCTGCAGGGGCATCTCCTGGTTCCTCACCTCTTTCCTAAGGGGCACCAAGATGCCAGCTTAATTGTGTGTGACCTACCTATATCATATGTGTCCACATGCTGCCATCTTTCCAAGCCTGTGGACGCCCAGTGGGTGACAAGGCAGAGGAACTGAGTCCTGCCCATGCTCCTCCACAGGTCATGGGGAGTCATCCCCTGGATGAGAGGAGGTGAGGTATCCTGCCTGGGATGGGGAGGGATCTGCAGGGTCCCCTTCACCTGCAGAGCAACACTGGCTTCACCTGGTACAGTGGTGGCCTTGTGGCCCAGGCAGGGCTTGGGTACAGATCTCATCACCGTGGTCATGGCGCCCTCTGGAGGCAGGTGTGGGGAATGCGCACCTGTCCTAAGTGTATGGATGGATGCAGGAGCCCCTGCGGCAGGAGCTGGCAGGCTGCAGAGGTGGAAGGGCAGCAGATAAATAAAACAGCATATGGAAACGGTGCTTCCGAGGAAAAGGGCTGAGTGCGTGTGCAGTTTTGTTTGCTTTGAACCTTATATGTTTGCCACTTGAGCCTTTCCTAAGGGTACATTTTAGTGGTATTGAATGTGTCTTCACAGTGCTGGGCAGCTATCACCGCCACCCATTTCTGCATGCACACGTTCAAATAGAGGGACCAGGGAGGGTCCCGCTAGAATATGGCATTGAGCAGTGGTTGAGAGGGGACAGAGGGAGCTGTGTGTGTGGAGCTGGAGAAGCAGAACAGGGAGCATCCGGTTCCCAAGGTAGCAGCAGGTAAGTGGATCTCAAGAGCTAAAAGGCCTGGGAATTTGGAGCAGAGGGAGCAGGGTGTGTCCCAGGCTAGGGAAACAGTCTTTCAGGCCAATGCTGCAGGCGCTCCTCACCCAGGCTACACCAGCCTTGGTCTCCTGCTTTATCAAAGCCCCGTGGCTTCTGGGTCTTTTGGGTGGGGCTTGGTGCCCCGGGGACAAGGGCAGATGGGAGCCCATTCTCAGAGACAAGGGAAGGGTGTCTGGGTGCAAGTCCGGGGTACCTGGGGCTGTGGACCTGTCTGACCAGTGCTTCCGCTGGTCAGTGGGCAACTTGGCTAGGAAGGGGGTTTGGAGGAGAACCGTGATCTCAGGAGCAGACAGTAGCTTGGAAGGCCCCAGGCTGCATCTGGGTGAGTTTCGGTGGGACCAGGCCACCGGCTGGGTGCAAAGCTTGGTGGGGGAGAGGTTATCCCGCGGGAGTTGGGGGTTCGGTGGTTGCGGGAAGCCCTGGTGCTGGAGGGCCAGGGCTGAAGCTGCCGAGGTGGAGCAGAGGGTGGGTGGTGGCACCGCAGACTGCAGACTTACACCCCAGTAACTGGGCACGCAAGGCTGGGGCGATACAGGGCCACGGAAATGGCAGTCAGGCGTGTCCTCAGGGGTGCATGCAGAGGCAGCCGAGATCTCAGAGAGCCTGGATGTGGGGAGCCTTGAAACTACCACAAAGTGGTACTGTGCAAGCACAGTGGACCAGCGCTAGGCCCACAGGGGACTAGGGTCCACAGCAAGGGCACCGTCCAACTACAACTAAAGAATAAATATTAAATGTGTGTATGGGAGGTGAGGATTTACCTTGGGGCAGTTTTACACATTGAGCTATATCCCTGTTTTTATTTTTATTTTGAGCCAGGATCTCACTAAGGCTGACTTGCAATCCTCCTACCTTGGCCTCCCACATCTTTGGGATTATGGTGTGTGCTTCTGCGCCTGGCTAAACATTTTTTAAAAAATACAGTTGACCACACTTAAAAATCAAATTTCATGGCTCAGGGGACTGAGGCAGGAGGATTGAAAGTTCAAAGCCAGTTTCAGCAACATGGCAAGGCCCTAAGCAATTTGGTGAGACCCTGTCTCAAAATTAAAAAAAAAAAAAAAAAAAATAAGGAAAGGGGTGCCCCAACCACAAAAACCCCGGCACAATCTCTTCAGCACTAAAAAAAAAAAAAAAAAAAAGAGCGAGAGACAGAGAGAGAAAAGAAAAGGACTGGGGATGTGACCACGTGGAACCACCTCCTGTTGCTGAGCAATGCTCCCCATTGTCCTCTCCCATGGCCCCAGCCAGCCCTGCCACCTGCTGGCCATTCAAGCCGAGCTCTGCCGATGCTCAGCCACTAGGGGGCAGCTTCGGTTCTTTGCTTTTGGAAGATCAGCTTCCTATTTAAAAGGACTCCTGCCTTCATGCTCAACACTCCCAGGGGTTCCAGGCAGGAGTGCAGGACAGTCACTGCGCTCCAGCAGGGGTGGGGCAGGGGCAGTGAGGTGGACGGGACCGGGCCCTGGCTCCCATCCTCCTTGATCTTGAAGTTTGAGTGACCTCCCCCATGCCCTGGCCCTCATTTGCACATCCATACAGTGACCTCCGTCATTTGTGTGTTCCCTGATCCAGAATGAGGCACAACCAGGTCTAGAGGCTGGCAAAGGGCAGGTGGGCCCTGAACACGCTCCTGGCCCGCCAAGGGCAGCTCTGTCTTCCCAGGTCCCCTGCATCCTTGCCAGTCCTGGACACTGCATCACCTGCCCACAACAAGGGTTTCTCCAGCCACTGCCCCTGGGTGTGGGGCCCCATAGAGAGACAAGAAGCTGGGGTGCTGGAGGGAGAGCTGGGGTCTTAGAAGAGGGCTGGCCTCCTCACCTCTGGGCCTCCCTCACTCATCTCTGGGGTTTTGGCTTTGTGCCTGGTCAGCGGGGTGGAGAGGCGAGGTCAGAGAACTGAGAGGCAGCCAACCAGGCTCAGTGGCACATGCCTACAAATCCCCGAATGTTGGGAGGCTGAGGCAGGAGGATCTCAAGGTTGGGGCCAGCCTCAACAACTTAGTGAGACCCTGTCTCAAAACAAAATAAAAAGGATTGAGATGCACTCAGTGGTAGAGTGCTTGTCTACAAGTGCAAGGCCTTGGAATCACCCTGGGGGAAAAAAATAGAAAAGAGCTGGACACAGGTCCCAGACCTGACTTCCCACAGATCAGGCTGTTCTCAGGCCCCACACCAGCAGCAGTAGGAAAAAAGCCTAGCATAGGCAGGAGGGGGCCTGAGTGGCCACTGAGTGTAGAGAGAGCCCAGCACCAGGCCATGGCGGGTGGGGGCATCTGGCAGAGTCTCAGCTCCAGGGTGAACGTCAGGAGAGGAGCTGATCCCGGGGGTCCTGTTCCTGAGCTCAGAGGCTGTTTGTGCAGAAGCGTGTGTCCAGGTGCAGCAAAACCCTGGTGACACCCACCTGCTCTGGGCCTTGTGCTTCCTGGCCTGTGGGATGGAAGTGAGTCACACCGACCTCAAAAGCGAGGCTGCCTAGTGAGAGTGCCCTGGGGACTCAAGTTCTGAGGACCGGAGTCATCCTCTCCTTCTGCAGGGAGGTTCTGCTAAGGCACCCTGACCCCCGCCCGCTTCTGCGATTCCTGTGTGTTCTGACCACTACCCTCCTCCCTGGCTTCTGACTCAGCCACCCTGACCTTGGGATCCTGTCTGTGTCTGGGTCAAGAATGGCAAGCCAGTTCCCCCCAGTCCCCATGCCCACTAACTAATCATGGCTGTCTGCAGCTTTAGGTTGACTCAGTGGGGAAGTGATGCAATTGATTGGTCATGTCTGCCCAGGCCCAGGGAAGGGGAGCTGGGCTCGGCTGCTCTCAGGGCCGTCTCCGTCTGTAGGCCTGATGATGGGCTGTCTGCTGCAGATCTGACCTCACTGCCACCTCTCAGCCACCGCTGCCTGGTTCCCTCCCACTCAGGCAAGGGCTGTGTGGGGAAGCGGCTGGCCCTGGGAGCCAACCCTAGAAGCCTGGCTCGGACATGGCTTGCCCTTGAACTAGTGAGTTTGATGCCTGAGGGGGTCGTTCAAAAAGAAAAAGAAGAAGAAAGAAAGGGAAAGGGTCTTTCCCAGTGGCTGGGGGTGGGGGGGTGGGATGACCTGAGGTCCACAGCGACAGGTGCAGGGGAAACAGCTTGGGGTGTCATTTGTAGGGCAGCTGCAGTGCTTCTGAGGTGATATCATGGGAGGAGACCCTTCCCAGAGAGAAGGGGGCCTTGGCTCAGGGCCAGCGAGGCTCTTGACATGCATGACAGACAAGAAGAGCAGCGCGTGCCCGTCAAAGGCACAGACAGGGTCCTGTTCCAGGGAGGACGTGAGTGATCGGAGAGAGGCCTTTGGGATAAGGCAAGGATCGGGAGCTCAAGGGAGGACACAGGCCACCTTCGAGGGAGGGACGGCGCCGCTGGCTGGGGGCTCCTGTCCTGGCTGACAGTTCTGGGCTGGCGTGGGGAGGAGCCAGGGCCGAGCTACTCAGTCTCTCTCCGTTTTCCCTGTGCTGGGCGCTGTCCTGACTTACAGGCCGGACCAGGGCGTGTCATGCAGGGGCTTCCGATATTCCTGAGCCTTTCTGCCCCTCGGTGGCTCCTGAGCGGATCCTCTAAGACTTGGTCTCTGTCTTTATCCTAAATCCCTATTTCCCCTGCCCCCCAACTTTGCTCCCTTGATCTTAAAGAGTTGGTGGGGTGAGGGTCCCCCTTCCACGGAGGCTTCAGGCTGACGAGGGGCAGTGACCCTGCCTTGGGAGGGACCAAGGGTCTCATCCTGTCTGGCTGTTCATGAAATGGGAGCCAGGTGGGCGTCAACTGCCGTCACCCCGTGCGAGGGGACACTAGAACTCACCGTGGTTGGTGCCGGAATTCCCTCCATCTCCCTGCCCGCCTTCCCAGCGTCCAGTAACCACAGTTCTCCATTTACACGGACTTCTCCTGGAGCATCCGAGACGAGGATTCGCATCCTGGCGAAGCGCTACAGATAGAAGCTGCTCAGCTCATGGCAGTCAGCCCAGGAGCAGAGACAGACAGACAGAGGAAGGGCCAGAGACCACGTCCTCAGGGCACGCCCAGCATGACCTACGGACTCCCCTCTGGCCCACGGAGGGTCGGAAAGCTTCCACCTACCTGAACCCACCAGGCTGCGAACCCGTCAAGGGACCAATCTACTGGTGAGGCTGGAGCCCTCCTCATCCGGGGACCTTCCAAAGCCCCACCTCTGAACGCTGCTGCTCTGGGGACCAAGCCTTCAGCACATGAACTTCTGGGGACACTGAAGATCCAAACCACAACAACCCGGGAGACCCATTTGGGATTTTGATTTCCAGAAATGTAATATAATAAATTTGTGTTATTTTAAGCCTCTGGATCTGTGGTAATTTGTGATTGCCGCAATAGAACATGAATACAGAGAGGAACTGGTGGCCTGAGGGAATACTGTGGTCGTTTAAAATATGTTCATAAAGCCAGGCATGATGATGTATGCCTGTAGTCCCAGCAACTCAGGAGGCTGAGGCAGGAGGATCGTGAGGCCAGCCTCAGCAACTTAGTGAGGACACAAACAACTTAGAGAGATCTTGAAAAATCTAAATTTGTTCAACAAATTGAATCGTTATTCTGACAAACTTTATTTCAACAGTAAATATATCTTGCAATTTGTCAACTGAAGATATTC